TTGCAATGGGAACCTGTGCTGAAGTCACAGAATTTTCTCTGCAAAACCTCTGGATTACTGGCCTGATCTGGACTGCAGGGCTTTGGCACTGAGGCAGGACTGCAAGTTTGAGAGCTGTGGGAAGGGGTGCACTCACAAGCACCACTTGGAGCTTTCCTTCTCCTCTCTGCAAGTAGTTTCACTACAGCTGATTTTCCATAAATAGGTTCCACAGAATTCGTTTCTTGGTCTAAAAATGATCCCCTTACCTTTTTTCCTAATGTTCTGAGATTGCTTTTAGGCTGTGAGTTGGAATCCATCTGGGTGCTGGATATGCAGCACTGCATTTCTTCTCAAGGGAGGAAAAGCTGTGTTTATTAGAAGAACAGGAAAACAACCTACATTCACATCTCAACCCTGCAATGTGCTTGTCAGTGCAATTTTCACTGGGTTCTTTAGGGATACTAATTACAGAAATACATTGTTTAAGCACACACAGTTGCTGCAATTGTTTTTCTGAAGCATTAACAACTCAAAGAAAAACATTATACTCAAAATTAAAAACCTCAGCCTTAATTTTACAGCCATGGTTAATATCACTGGTCAGAGATTTCAGGGCTAGGAGAGAGAATTTAGATTATTTGCCTTGTCTACCATGAAACTCAGGTTGTCAGATAGGAATGCCAATAACTTTTGTTTGAGGCTTTGTTTGAGTTAGATTGTTCTGCTGAAATTTAACACCTGCAAAAGCAAACAAAACTTTTCCTTACTTCTTATTTAAGCCACTATTTACTCACTATTGCTGAACAGTGGCATTTGAAACATAATTGCTTGTTGAAGTGTAGAAAAAGAAATCGTTTCAAATACTACCCACTGGCTACTATGGTGAAATGGTCTCCATAATCTTACTTGAAACAACAATGCTATGTCAAAAGTCCTTAAGCACTGCACTACTATATTGTATTTTAATATAATTCCTGTACAAAATATTTTTTTCCTTTTTTTTTCCTTTTTTTCTTTTTTTCTTCAAAATAAGGGTGCAGACTGAACTCTGAGACAAGGAGGAACTTTGTGCAAGAGTCTGTTCTGTTATCTAAAGGTTATTGTTTCTTATCTGTACAGATCCGTACAACACAGCTAAACCCACTATAGTGATGAGTGAGCAGCTATTTCAGGCAATAGGGGTAGAGGGTAGAGAGTAATGCAAGGAAAGAGCACATTTAGATATCAGCAGTACAGTAAAAAAGTGTTCTTTGCTGTGACATTGCTTACTATCAGACAGTCTCCTAAAAGGAGCAGGAGAGTTGCTATTGATTCGAATAAAACTGGGGAAAAAAACGCTGTGTTGCTGGAGGCAGTTGTGCTCAGAAAGAAACAGTTTGGATGAAATGCTGCTTGACAGCCAAGAGAGCTTTCTTGAGTCCTGTCCACATTGCTTTCTTGTGACGCCCTAGCTGCAGGTCTCCAGGATGCTGGTAGCTCCTCCCAGGCACACCTCCTGTGCAGGGGGTCCCCACGTAGGGACTGACGGGTGGCATTCTTCACAAGGACATCCAGCTCTTACTCCACCCCGTGATTCAGCCACACATTCACACCCGGTTTTGTTGTCGTTTCTAAGGCCCTTTTGGCATTCTCCTGTCTCATAGCATAAGGCTGGTGAAGCAAATAGCTAAACTCAGGACCGTTGGTCTTCCCACTCTTCTCAGTGCTGCTGTCCTGTGTTGCAGAGCAGCCACGGAGGGCTTGGCAACAGAACTGCTTCGCAAGCCAGGCCTGCTGTGTCTGCATGGACTGCTGAACCCTTCTTGCAGGCTCTTGCAAACCAGCCTCAGAGACCAGTTTCTCACTGACAGTAGCCAAGAAGCTGCTCATGGCTCCATGCCCAAAGTGCTTGGACACTCTGAATTGAGGTCACACCTAGGAAGTCTGTGTTTCAATGCGCTGTGTCAAACCAGGCCGCATTACCTGGTATGGCCCAGTAATAAGCCCTTACATCAACCACATCCACATAAGAATCATGTTTGACCTTGAAGCTGAACTTTGCAAAAGAAAACTATGATTGATATTATGCTTACATCTCACATCCCATCTGTCCTGGCACACAGACCACAGTCAGGGAAGCCAACACAGAGCAACCCAGTTTCTTAGAGGGCCATAGCAGTGTATATATGCTTTTGGACCAACATGGTTCACTTGTGTCTACAAGATGTTTCTGGCTCATAAGCTCCTGGTCTCAGATCTGCAAGGCCAAATGACATTGTTGGCAAAAAGAAGCAAACCGATTGGACACAGAAACTCTACTTCATGTTTGCTTGCTGCAACTACTATGATTTACCACACCAAGATAATTAAACATACCAAACAATTAGCTCATGAACTATCAACTCTGGGGTCACCAGATCCTCTGCCTCAACAGATACCAGGTAGAAGGACACAATACCCTGCTTCTTGTGTCCAGCAGCAGCTCACCCTTATCCTCCCACACTGTAAGTGCTTGAATGTCAAGTCAGAGCCATGGACCAGCAAATCTGACTCCAAAAGCATTCCTAGCAATTACTGGGAGGGTACGTAGATGAAACCTGGCACAAAAGGTGATCATAAGGTTACATGTTATGTGTAACCAAATAGCTTTTCCCTCTCACCTTGCTTTTGTCTTTTATTAAATGAGACCAAAGGATTCATCATGCAGCCTTTTAAAGAAAATCAGCCTATTAGTAAGTGAAACAAAGCTGAGCTGCATTCTGCCTAGGAGCAAATCACATCTGTATGTGATGTAAGTCATGGTGGTAACATCTGAGGCAGCACTCCAACTCTATTTCAAAGGTTCAAGTGGTACTCAATTAGTACCTAGCTCCTGAGCTACCTACTGCAGACAGGTGAAATTCACCTGCTATTTTAAAATAGTGTAATTATACTATTTTCCAAGGTGTTTTGAGGAGTTGCTAGTCAACACGTTACAGGACTCGGTGTTTATCTTTTGTGTCATGCGTCAGAGGTAATTACTTCACAAGCTAGGTGTGTCACTAGGAAGCACTGAAAACTCCCTTTGTTTCAGGTTACCTGAATGCCTCAGTATGGGAGGTGAGCAATAACCAACCTGATCCCCTTCTCCTCCAGTGAGGCCTCATAGAAGTTCCTGCGAATGGTAGCCTCTTTGTTTCTGAGTTACTGGCCTTAAGGTAGCTGGGGCTGATTAGATAAGGTGACTCCATCTGCAGCCTTGATATAAAATGAATTTAGTTTGCCCTCACTGTATAGCAAGGTCATTGAAAACTAATTAAGGACATATGTATCCATTTGTAAATTGTAAATGAGCTAGCTGTTTGCTGTGAAACACAAATAGCTTTTTCTCATGAATGAATATTTAATTGAGGTAAGTCCTTACAAAATATCAGAGTTAGAATTCAGATCTAGTGAAAGTTGGCAGTGTTCTGCTTTGTTTAGCAATGTCTCTCTGCTTCTACCTGCTTTGTATTTGGTCTTACATATTTATTGGTGCCCGCCTGTTTTCAACATTATTGTTATCTCAAAGCAAACAGAGGATTTCCCAAGAGATAGGACGATTCTTGTACTTCAGCCTCCAGCCTAGTGCCTTACTCATATACCAAGGTCCAAATTACCCTCCTTTATCCACAAGAGAAGCCTCCATTGAATATTCTTTTCTGATTCTGCATTGGTTGTGCAGACTGAATTGCCTCTGGACAGCTGCAGTCTGTAGAGAGCAGAAAGAGCTTTTGCACCTAACATCAGTTTGAAATGCTCTTTTCTCTAAGAAGCAGGTGAGGCAGAGTAGGAAGGCTGATGTAGTGCCGGTAATAAGCAGCAATCCTGATATTACTTATTAACACTAACCAATCTTATGCTACAAAGCGTTCAAAGGGAGAAAGGTCTTGTTGCACAGAGAATTTAAATATTTGAAACTAGGCAAAATTTGGTGAAAACAAATGGAGGAGATGGTACTGAGTGGAAAACAGGAAAAAAAGGGACCATCTGAGATTTACCAACTAACCTCTGCATCAAGCAGTTCCTTTTGTTTCAATTAGGAAAGATGAGGGAAAACCCTCTTCTACTGTGTTAGTTGACATAAAACATCAGAGTACTGTACATCTCATATCACTGACAGGCGAGGCAAGAACCATACTAGATCTTGCCTCAGTATTTAACTGTAAATTGCCTTACTGACAGGGCACCTTCTGAAGTGGAATCAAAAACCAATTACAGTCAATGCAAACAACTTCACAACTTATAGTGAACAAGCACTTTGCTGTGGAGAGAACTAGAAAGGTGGTAGAATCACTGTCAATTAGTTCTGAGTCTGAGATTCAAGGCCTTTCTAACAGAGTCTTGATTTGAGAATCACTGGGTGAAACTCAACAGCTTACTTTACTCTGAAAGTCAAACAATATGGTCCTTCTGATCTTAAAAGCTGTGAGTCAGTATGATATCACAGGAAAAGAAAATATACTTGATATCCATTAATTGTACATTTTATTTTGTGTGCTTATTTTAGCCCTGAAATTCTGAATTTTGACACTAGTTGAAATAGCTTGTTACTTTATTTTTGAATTCCTACAGCATCATCCTTACAGTGAGAGCAATAGAAATGTCAGTGATGTAGATTTTTTCTCTCTATCATCCAGTCGAGACTTTTTTGCCTTCACCTCCCTTTACTACTCATGCCTGCTGTAGGCACACATCTGCGTTCCATTTGTGAAGCACATGAACTAAGTTGGTCAGCATTATTTGACCCGCTCTTTTTGTCAACACTGTCTTTTTACATCTCTAGTTTGATGCTTAAAAAAAAGAGAAGATCTGGTCCCTGTAGAAATAATTCAGTCTTGCAGGGGGTTATTTGAAATACATGGCACTGAGCTCTGCTTCTAATCAGACTCCAAATAAAATAGCACAAAGGAAGATATGAAGGTAAAATAAAGATTACCTGTACAGGGGAACTCCCTTCCTCTTTCCTTTCTTATCGTATGCATTAAGATCATTATTTCATTTTGAGACGTAAAAGCTGTGTTGCCCCTAGTTTCCATTTGCTTCAAGTCTTGGACAAACACGGCTGGATTTACATGTGTAGAATAATCTTTACAAATCCAGTACATTGTGAACATCTATTGTCACTTAATATATTTTTAAACAATGCTTTGTGATGTGATTGTTCTCATTCAACAGTTTGAGCAAATTCTTATTGCTTTTTTTACTATTTATTTTCACTAATAAAATCAATAATTCACGGTGGATTTCAGTTACAGAGACAATTATTTTAGATTTTCCTTTCTTGATCACATGCATGTTTAAACTGTGTTCATCTAGTATGTCCCTGTACAGCTCCATCATGGTCAAGGAGAGCGTCATGTAATCTCAAGGAACAATTGTGGGTGCAGCCTGAAAAAAAGAATGCAAAGATAAGGGTCTTCCAGCATGTAACTGTTGGATCATTTGACAGCGTTTATTTCCAGGCCTGAATTCACCTAACCATTTCTTAGCACAAACTCACACGTACTGGAAAAACACATTAATTGAACTTGGCAGAAACTTCTCATTTAAGGAACAACAGAAAATGAGGAACAGGCTTTGAGCTCTTTTACCATGTATATCCCCTTCAAAAGAAACAAAAGAGACCTGGAGAATGTCAACAGTGCTTTGAAAGAAAACGGTCGTCCACTGTGACCTGAATTTGTCGGGTTTTCATTAAGCTCAGTGTGGGTAGTAAGGAACGAGCTCTCAGTTTAAGCAGAACTGGAACTCAACAGATCCTTGGCCAATGTTCCTGGAGCATGACAGTGCAGGAATGCCAACGTTTCAGGAATTCTAACTGGGAATAAACTGCCTATTCACAGTCATGCACAACGAAACAGAAGCTACTGTCAGTAATACCATATGGTTGCTTTTCCTCCTACAGCTCTTAGAATTGACAAAGAAAATGATCCTCTTCATTTTAAACCTATACAAAGTGTCAGAATGCGGTATGCTTTCTTTTATCTGCTACACTGAATGCATGGCCTGTAAGTTGTCAGAAGTAAGTCACTCTGTGTTTCCAGTTAGAAAAAATCCCAGGAGTAAAACTGCAAACAGATCACCAGAGATGCTGCAAGACTATTCCAACCACGCTTGGAAAATTTGGATAACACTTCCTATATTCAGAAACAAGAAATTCAAACCTGCCTCTTACTGAGACCATTGATTTTTTTGTGGGCAACCAATAATGGTATTTTTAGGACATAAGAGTCTTTGCTTCCTAATTTCAGGGTAATCATACTTAGGAAGATGTGTTTTAACTAAAACATGGCTAGCGCCAGATCTGTTAAGCAAAACCACTTTATACTGATAGGATTTTCTTGAGAAAATTCTGTTCAATTCTTTGAATTCATAAATGCATTACATCAAGTTGAAATGTTATTACAAGCAGAACAGCAACATTAAATTGTTTTTCTCCTTAAAACAGATGGAAAATCTTAAAATACAGTTTGGTTAGAGGGCAGTAAGGCACTGGAGCTGTTACAGGGAAGAAAACAGAAACTGGGTCCTGCTACTGACCTGCTGAGCAATCTAGGTCCTTTCATCACCTCCCTGCTTTAGTAATTCCTGTAAGTTGCTAGTAATGCTATACTCTTAATAGAGCAGGTTAAGAACCAGTGTTGGATCAGAGCAGCTGTTAATCCTGTAACTTAAAGGCTTTCATTTTGATTTGGCTCTTATGCTTGATTGTGAGTTCTGGCACAAAATGCTGTAGTTAGGGTGCCTATAAAAGCTTTCTCCTGCTTAGCCAATGCCTAAATCCAGAACCAACTGTGTATTTTTGTTGCTTTTTTTTTTTAATATGTGAATTTCCCAAGCTTCTACATTTGAATTTGTTCTTTCGTATTTCTGCCCTAGACTGTTCTGATGAGAGCTGATTTCATGCCTGCTCTCGTGTTCCTTCACTCCTGACTCAAATGGCAATTCAGTCCATAAGCATTATCAGCTAGTGCTTATCAGTATTACACATGATGCCCATGCTCCAAAAATTCAGTGTGCTGACTGTCAGGACACTGTCAAGAAAGCCACAGAACTGAGAGCTTTCATCTCCTCTCTGGAGATGTGATCTAGTCTGGTTTTACTGTGTCTGCAAAGGATGAATAGATTTTTTGTATAAAAAGGAAGGAAGAGGTAGCCTTATATACCTTCCCCTCCATTTAGGAGGGAAGTAGGGAGTGAAATGTAAAGGAAGAAACTCAGGGACCTAGAAGAGAGTTTCTCACTGTAACAAAAACAACTTGCTGCCCTGCTGAACTGAGAGTTTAGCAACTCACAGTGCTCTGTAGCCAAGGTGGTTTGAAAACACATCTTGCAAAAGGCAAAAGCCCAGCAAGGAGGCTAAGGGTCTCTAACGAACGCTCCAACATGGCAATTGTTCTTTCCCCTTCCACAGATGACAGTACTGCCTGTATGGGTTCAACATGTTCTCGTTGGTTGGGTTTGGGTGGAGTGGTGTTGAGTAAGCTGGTAGTTATGGATACCACTGAGGTATCTATCTTTCCCCATATATTGCAGGTGATTGTGGAAGAATGGCACAGGGTTATGTGCTGTGGCAAACAGGAACCTAGAGATCGTATGTTGCCACATTTAACTATTAGTCACCTAAATTCCTTTTGCCTCTGCCTCTTTGTAGTTAGGAAGCAATGGTAACTGCAATAAAAATTCTTCTTTTTTCAATCAAGCCAAAATATGGTATTAACAGCAAGGAATAAAAATACCTATATGCTTTTTGCACCTATATGCCCCCACAAAATAATCCAAGACCACCACATAGCGTTCCGAGTGAGAGTGGCAACAACTAGGTTCTTACAGCATTTCTTACAATTGTTTCTTGGGCTCAGCAGACTGCCCAAAACAGTGATGTTCTGGTCTGCTCCACATCCAGTACCATCCTACTGAATAAGGCATGAGTCCCACCATAAACTTATTGCTTAAAAGAGGAAGTCTCCTCACAAGCCATATGTTGTCAAATTAACCTGATTAAAGTTTATCTCAGTGGGATTGCTCTATCTGAAAACAGAGGCTCTAGCTGTTTCCCAAAAATGTTTTACTTCATCTCCCTCAGAAGCCATTTAGCTTTGATTGTTTTTTCTCACCTGCTGTTGCAAGCTGCTTCACATATGGCTCAGTTTTACAGTAAAGCCCTCTCCTGTTTCCTAAGATCACACAAGAAGGGAATATAGCTGTGAGTTCTATCAGTCTCTGCTCCCCTCCCTTCTCTCAAACCTGAAGCAAAGGTGATTCTTTTATTTGAATGTGGCACTATGAGTGAGTGCCTAGCACCATCTCTGCTGCAGGACCTGTAGGAAAACACAGAACTGTGTTTTTGTTACAATCCCTTGGCATACCCCAGGGTCTCCACAGCCCTGTATCTTTGACATGTGCTGGCTGTTACCTTGTTTTGAAGCTTCCAGTTCCTTTTCTTGAAATGAGGACATTGAAAACAGCAGCTTGGATCTGCACGTTTCCCTAATCTCAGAGCTCACCTGCATGCCATTGCGGCACACCGGAAGACCTGTGTCCTATAGTCCGTTGCCCATGACAACGTAAATACGATCTGTTCTCACACCCCAGCAGGCGGGAGGCCACAGCTCCTGCAGGTAAAGCAGCTGGGAGCTCTGCAGGAGCATGGCGGTGGATGAAGGGTGAGGAAGAGGGGGCACAGGCACAGTGCGTTGTGTCTGCGTGCCTACGAATCGGTTGGTTGGTTGCACAATCTTGATGCAAGAGCACAGCCGGCTGAAGCAGCCTTCTCACTTTGTAGTTTCTAAGCTTCGGTGGATTCTCAAACTTTTATTTCATGCTGAAAATGTGCTTTAATACAAAAATCCATCCTGCCTTTTATTTGAAGTAATTCATTTTGGGCTTCAGAAAAAAAAAAAATCAACAACAACAAAAAATAGCACCTTTAGAGACTGGCGATCGAGCACACGAGTCGCCCACACGCTAACTCCAAAGGGCCTTTCTTCCCTCACCCGCTCTCCAACTTGGCAATCGCCAACCCCGCCGCAGGGTCAGGGTTCGGGGCAGAAGCAGGTGGAGCGCGGCCCGCCGCCATATTGCGCTGAGGGTCTCCCGCTGAGGGCTGAAGAGAGGCCGCGCCCGCGGGCACGGGGGCGGCGCCGGCAGGAATGCCCGCGCGGCTGCCTCTGCCTGCCGGGTGCCGCCCGCCGCACCTGTTGCATCGCTCCGAGAGCGGTCCCGCCCGGGCCGGGGTCCCGAATCCGCGCCCCGAGGTGTCGAAGCGCGGCCGGTGGGGTGACGGGCTGCTGGGCGAGGCCGCCCCGTGCTCGCAGAGCGCAGGGGGGAGCGGCGGGGAATGGCCGGTGGCGGGTGAGTCACTGCCGCAGCCCCACCTGCGTACTTAACCGCCGCCGGGCGGCCGGCGCCGCACTCGCGGGTTGTGCCGTCGCCGTGGCCGGCTCTCACTCCTCCTCCTTCTCCTCCTTCTCCTCCTTCTCCTCCTTCTCCTCGCGGGGCGCTCGGCTGAGGCGGGGCAGCTGCTGCATGAGCGTTGCTCTCTGGAGCTGCGGAAGCACCGACAGCGCTGAAAATGCCGAAACCGGTAAGCGAGGCGCGGGGGCTGCCCGGGTGCTCTTGTCTGCTGCGCCTGGGCTCTGCCGAGACGCCTATGGAAGCTCTGTGGGGCGCGGACTTAACCGCGAGGAAGCTCCGGAACCAACCGAGCGGCCGCTTGGAGCGGCTCGGTTCAAACGCGGAACCGCCCTAGGGAGCCATGCTGAAAGTCGGGCCGCTCGCCCGGCGGCGGTTGGAGGGGAGGACCGCGCCCTGGGGCCGCCGAAGGCGCTCCGCAGCCGTGTCCGGGAGGGAGCCGGCATCGGCGGGAGGCTGCGGGCGTTGGTGAACTGCCCTCGGAGCGCCGTAACCGGGATCGCGCAGAGCTCGCGGGGCACCGAAAGAAGGGTTTACTGTGCTCCCGCGTCCGTGAGGTGGCAAAACTGCACCGGCTCTCACTCGGTATTTGTGAACGCTTAATGACAGGTCCTCGTTTCCTGCCTTCGTGATTAAAAAATTAAGTCCTAGGGGATCATAGTACCGTTCCCCACGGTGCTGCCGCTGGGTCTGTTGCCAGGTGGTCTCTAGCAGTCTTCAGTAAGGCGTTTCTGCTCCTTTCTTTCTTTTTTTTTTTTTTTATTATTTTTTATTTTTTTAATTGAACAAACTTGAATACTACCAATTTTTTTTTTTTTTTCTTTTTTTTTTTTTTTTTTTTTTTGTCCTCTGGGCCCCCGCCTGCGTCAGTTTGCTCATGGTTTTTTTTTGGTTTTTTTTTTTTCAGATTGTTTTGCTTTGAAATCTGCTGCCACAGTGGCAGTTAGAAACGGTAACTCCCTTGAGGAGCTGGCTGGTACGGAGCTGCCTGCACTCATTGATGCAGGCAGCTTCGGAACTCTGAAGAGCAGAGTAGATTGTTGGTGTCTGTTTCCAACAGAAGCAGTACTCAAAACACAGCACAGTGAAGAACTTCCAAGATTATTAGCTATACCCTTTGGAAGGAGACTAGGCAAGCTTATCCTTGGGGTAATAAGCAGTGAATGTTCTGCCACTGGAACACTAAATTTAACTTAGTTAAGGAGAGGTTAGATTAATTTACATTGCAGTTTCTGTAACCTTGGGGGCGGGGGAGAGGGGAGGAAGAAAGAATTCTTTCTGTCTTTGAATTCTTTGAAGAAGTGCTAAACCTTCATTCTTCCTGGATGTATTTAAACAACAGGAGGTGATACTGGAAGCCATGAGTAGGTGTGGGAAAAATCTCTTTATCTCTCTGCGGAAGGACAGCCATGCTTTAATGGTTTCTGAGACGTGACCTACTGTCCAGGATTTATGGAGAAGACTCTTTGTCCAGAGTTTGTGTGACATAAGCTGTTCTTTTTTGCAGTCTGCATTCAATCCCCCTTGTTAGGGGGGCTGACTGCCACCTTAGCGGATGCATACAAAGACAATTTTGTAGAGGTTTTTTAACAGAACACTTTGGTCTGACTTCTGCAGATCGAGACTGTATTCAGATCCTTCAAATCCAGCTCATTTGTACTTAATACAGCTAAATAGGATTCCTATCACTTTGCAGGGTGAGGTGGGAAGGGGTGTGAAGTTGTCGCTCCAGAGCAGAACTGTGCTCAGAAGGAGCTTGATAAGAGCTTTTGAGGTGTGTGGGGACTGATATCGTGAACTCATAGGAAATGAGGAGGCAGTTTTTGTTTGATAGGTCAAATATACGGGTACTAAATAGATTATACCTGCACTTTGTTCGCGTGTGTCTTGACAGCTTGGCATAAGTATACACAGTGTTGTTTGTCAGACCTCATGCTGATAGGGATGTGGTTTTACAAGCTTGTTATCAGTTGTCATCTTAAAATTTTTATTTCTAAGCAGAAAATAATCACCAAGATCTTGGCAGTTGCTTTCTACCTGTCCCCAAAGCAGCAAAGGTAAACCTCCATACAGAGCTTTTGTGGTAACAAAAAATATGCAGACAGAAAGCTTACAGATTGGAATTGAGTCTTTCGCAGTAAATAAGTCCAGTGACAGTAAAATGTGAGTGATTTTGTATATTAGTAATGTACCATAGTGAAGTACTAGAAAGCCAAGCACACGCCAGATTCTGTACCAGTGCTTTATTGCTGTTTGTTGGATCAGACACATGTCTAGGGTGCTCAAAATATATCTTGGCAATGTTTCAGGTAATAATTGTGAAATCTTCTTTGATAATTAAGGCAAGTGTTAATTTATAATTTATAATTCAACACAGACTTTCTGCCATGTGTAACAGTTATAGAGTAACAAGATCTCTGGAGTAAGCTGTAAATATGTAACTTCTCTTATAGGTAACCGCAGCTCTTAAGGGTTTTTAGCTGGAAGTTCACCAACAGTTCAGAAGCTTAACTTCCATCTAGTCTGTACAATAGTTCGTAAGGTTTCACGAATGGTAAATTATTACATAAAGAGACACAAGAGATGTTATCTTGTTCAAATCTTTCTTTGTTTTCTGAGAAGAAGCAAAGTGTGCAATAAACTGACTTGATCAGCCTTGCGTCTTTTCATTACTAAAGTGTCTGTGTGCTCACTGTGTTTTTCCTTGATCCATATGTTGCTAGCTTATTTCTGTTTGACTCATTGCATGGATGCTGTTCTAGCTGAATACATCCTTTGGCAAAGCAAGCCAGTCAAATAGAGCCACAGGGCTGGGGACTACTGAACATTACTTACAGAAGGAGAAGGAAATGTGATCTCTGCTCTATAGACCTGTTAATTTGATCTGACCTATCAACATTCTGTGGTACTTTTTTGAAAGTAGATTATTCTTTCTACTCTTAGAAAATATTGAGGGGGAGGGAAAGAAAGCATCGCAAGAAATGATGTCAGCTTTGCAGTAGAGCATTTGATGTAATGTCACATAAGGACCTTTAATACTTGTCTACATTTTTATAACACTCCTGAAGAGAGGTCAGCAATAAATGCAGCCTATCAACTTCTGCTGCTAAAAGAGAGTGCAGGGAATATATCAAGGCATCATTTTTTTACCATGTATACTAATAGCCTATGTTCAGAAAGCTGAGCATACCAACAATGTCTGCCAGTGATGGGGGGGCAGAGAGCCATCATATGTAGGAATATAAAACACATATATTAAAAAAAAAAACAACACACAGAAAACCAAAAACTCTCCCATTTCAATAATTGATAGGGTGGTGGAAAGAGTTCCCTCAAAGTAGAGGATAGAATGATATGAACTAGTTGTTGATAGGATGGACTGTCTTGTCCATTGATCTGCAATATATGGAGTTTCCCTGATGGAAAGCAGTAATAGAAGGTGTTAGAAAATTTCTTGAAATTAGGTTGTCATACTTATCCTTGTCCAGAAAACACAAATCCTAAGCAGAACATGGAGAAGGATTTGGGGTTGATTGTAGGAAGAAAGCCTCCTCACAAAAAGGGAACTTGTTTAGTTTAAAATACAAAGGATTTAAATGCCAATGAAAGGGAGGAATTGCTTTAAGCAAGGCTTATAGTTAAGGGAACTTGGAGATATCAGAGCAGTTCAGTTTCTGGTTGCTTTCTCCTCCCCCGGAGCATTCTAAGACCTAATGCCCTTAAGATAAAGCGAAGACACATTGTAGTGCTGCTGCCTGTAGGAGTGCACAGCTGGAACAGATGACTCAAAAGGCTTTTCCCAGTCCTGTGTTATTATTAATGTGCTAGTGTGTGCCTGGCACCAAGTGGTTAGACGAGTCCTCTGTACTTGTTTGCTATTGAATATACATGCATTCTAAAAATGAACACGAGGACGGCATGTAAGTCTTCAAGCCAAACCTTTATCTGTCTGTGAACACCCAATGGCATTACAATTCAGCATTTGTCATAAGCCAACCTGAAGAGCAAGATGTATAGCAACAAAGATTTACTCTAAATACTAATAATTTTTTATATTTTCCAGATCTTCCCAATTTCTTCTTAACTGTGTCTGCTAACTGCATGTAATAGTTTTGTCTTCAATTTCTTCAAAGCAAATTTCTGTAACAGGACTGAATAATAATAATAAAAAAAAACAAAAAACAAACAAAAAAAAAAACACAAACAAAAAAAACACCCTTTAGTGATCACGAGTAATTAACATGCTCTTGGCTTATGGATAGTTATGGATTTATGCAGGAATAAGTTTTTGGCTTTTTTTTTCTTCTGAGCACAAATTGCAGTACATCAGATGATACAGTATTTGGTGCACGTGCTACTAAGGGTGCACGCTCTGGTGCAAAATGGAAGAAAGCTACTATCAACCAAGTGTGCAAAGTCTCACTCAAGGCTTCAAAAGGAAGTTGAAGGATTCTGTTAATAGTGAATGTAGGAAGTAGTTCACAAGTGGTTAAAGTTAGAATAGAGTGAGTTCACAATTGTGCCAAAATCCAAATTACTGTATGAGCTGAATAAGCATTCCTGAGGTCAGTCTGTTCTTGTTAGCTGCTTTGGAGAAATCAAGTGTTAACTGTTAGTGTTAGTCACTACTTAAATAATTTCTTAGCCTTCTTAAAGGGCAGAGGGTGGAGATAAGCCTTCCT